TGAACTGCTGTATGGAAAGTGAATTTGCTCTGTAAATCTTCACCCAAATCACAATTAAAAAAAAAAAAAAAAGAATTTCATTTTACTGGGATCCCCAATCAGCACCTATGGAAGCTTTGTTGTTGTTACGTGCCGTCGAGCCAGACCCGACTCATAGTGAACCCTCCTTGGGTTTCTGAGGCAGTATCACTATGGAAGTAGATTGCCCCATCTTCCTTGTGAGGCGTGGCTGTTGGGTTTGAACTGCCAGCCTTCTGGTTAGCAGTCAAGTGCCTTTGGCGCTACACTTCCAGAGCTTCCCCTATGGAAGCAGCAGTAAAGAAATCAAATGATGTATAGCATTGTATAAATCTGCAAAAGGCCTTTGTAAAGTGTTAAAAGAGCAAAGATGTCACTTTGAACACTAAAATGCACCTGATCCAAGCCATGGCATTTTTACTAGTTTTATATGCATGTGAAAACTTGGACAATGAATAAGGAAGAACACAGAAAAATTGATGCATTGAATAGTGGTGTTGGTGAAGAATATTGAATATACCATGGACTGCCAGATGAATGAATAAATCTGTCTTGGAAGAAGTACAGCTGGAATGCTCCTTAGCAGTGAGAATGGTGAGACTTCATCTCTTGTACTTTGGCTATGTTATCAGAAGGGATCAGTTTCTGGAGAACGATATCATGCTTGGTAAATGAGAGGGTCAGCGAAAAAGGGGAAGACCCTCAATGAGATGGATTGACACAGTGGCTGTAACAATGGGTTCACACACAGCAACAATTATGAGGATGGTGCAGGACTAGACATTGTTTCATTTTGTTGTACATAAAGTCACTATGAGTTGGAGCCAACTTGATGACATCTAACAACACCACAACCTGGTACAGATGAGTAAAGTGTGGCTAGAGAGAGTTGGTGATTCTGTCTTGGGATATGCCTGTGTGGCTTTAATTCTTTGTATCAAAAAATAAGTGTTTTCAATTTAAAGGGTAGGATTTGGTTCATAGACAGAAGAAAGGATTTCCCCTTAGTCCAAGAGCAAGTCATGAGGGAGGAGGCTTGGATTGACTTTTTAGATACATATGATCTATGTATACACACATGTATTTGTATATGTTGTTGATATGTGCCGTCAAGTTGGACCCGACTCATAGCGACCCCTCCTTGGATTTCTGAGGTGGTATCACTATGGAAGTAAATTGCCCAACCTTCCTTCTGAGGAGTGGCTGGTCGGTTTGAACCACCAGCCTTCTGGTTAGCATTCAGGTGCCTTAGATCTGTATACATATGTACATGTATATGGATCTCATATATATATATATGTGTGTGTGTGTGTATATATATAGATATATTTTTAGATATAATAATGATACTGAGAATTGCTTTAGTTAGTTCTGAATCTGTGCCAGATGTTCTGCTAAGCTTTGAATCCTCAAAACAACAGCAACAAACCCTAATTGTCCCCATGTTAATCATATGTAATTGAGTGTTGGAGGCTCAATTCAGGTGGTAAACACCATCAGAACTGGAATTTGGATGTATGCCTGTCTGGTTCCTAATCCATGGTATTAACCACTGCTTTCTCCTGACTTTTTTCCCATAGGCATTTGCATCAAGTGTGGGCTTGGTATCTATGGAGCAAGGCAGGCATGCCAGGCGATGGGGAGCCTGTATCACACTGACTGCTTCATCTGTGATTCATGTGGTAGGTAATGTCTTTGTACATCGGACACAGACCTAAGTCCCAGGTATATGGACCACCTAGCTCTAGCTCAACCTGGAGTGTGGAGGAGGCTGGTTACAATCTTCTCACGCAGTTGAGTGTGGTCATTTCCCTTTGGACCTGGCCTGCTTTTGAGACCCAGGCCCCTGGGGAGATCTGCTGCCCTGGGGAGGGAGGCATGGAGCAAGTGAGGAACCTTTTGTTGATTGTAAGGTACAGCTGGGCCTTTGCCCTCAGCTTTAGAGCTTTTGTTCTAGGCCGGATATCAGTGTGTCTCTGATGCTTGGAAGGAGAGTATGGAGCCAGGGAGGGTCTTCCTGCCCACTTGGAGTTGGGACTCATCTTTTTTCCTGCAATTCTTTTTCAATTTATTTTTTTCTTCTAATTTTATGCATATGATATTTACCACCTTGGAAACCTAATGGGGGTTGCTATGAGTTAGAACCAACTTGATGGCAGTGAGTTTCCTTTTACAATATATTATAAATGTTATAATTTAATTTAGACAAAAGTATAAAAAGAGAAAGATAATTATCCAACCACCTTAATAAATCCACACTCTTGATTTTCCTAGCATTCTTTCAGACCTTGCCCCTATGCAGGCATCTCTTATTTATTTACATTAAACATTTAAATATTTTGTTCTATGAAAGCATCATACATGCAGCTTTAACTCAGATAGTCCTGAGAAGCTAATTGTAAAAAACTTTTTCCACTTCTAATTCCATTCCCCAGAGGCAGTCACTTACTGTGTTTTTAGCATTTTCTTCTCGTGTTTTTATTGGTTGCCGTTGAGTTGATTCTCACTCACGGACACCCCGTGTGCTCAGAGTAGAACTGCTCTATAAGGTTTTCATAATTAGACACTGGGCCTGTCTTCTGAGGTGTTTCTGGGTGGGTTTGAACCACCAGCCTTTCTATTGTGCCACCCAATGACTCTAATTTCTTCTAGTAGACTTCTCCCTATCTCTGATAAGCATACACAACTATTTCTCAGTATATCAGTTTTTGGTATAATTTGCTTTTGCTGTGATGGAGGAATAGGTTTTTAATATTGACTGCTCCCCCTTGTCTCCTTCTTGTCTTCCCAGTATAATCATATCACTAGTTTTGTTGAATCAGTAGATTGAATATACCTGACCATTGCTGTATAAGTATTGTTCACTGTAGAACCAACAATGATACTGTAATTACATCCCTTTTTTCTAAAGACTTTTACTTTTCCTGGAGTTATCTACCCACCCCCCCATCTTTATTTACCCTTTGTATTGTCTTCCTTTGTCATTGTTCTGGTTACCTAGTGCCACTCTGACAAGAATATACCACAAATGGGATGGCTTGAAGAAACAGGAGTTTATTCTCTTAGAGTTTGGAGGCTTTAAGTCCGAGTTCAAAGTGCCAGGCTCTAGGTGCTGGGTGAAAGCCCCTCAACCTTGGGCTTCAGCTCTGCCTCTGCTCCTGGCCCACTGAAACTGGAGGCTTTTCTTCACTCAGCTGCTGGCTGCTAAGGCTGACAAGCCCAAGGATGACAAGTAATAAGGCACAGTCCTGATGTTACCAAACCACATGGCAGGCCATTAATTCAAGTCCATTAAAGGTCCCAAGGTTGGCAGGGCTACATGCAGGCTTCAAGTGTGCCATAAGCTAGAGACTATTCCCCAAGGCTTCTCCTTATGTACAGGAAGCAGACCACATCCCTAGGGCAGTTACTCAGCTGCTCACAGTAGACTCCACCATGGAGTTGATTACTAGTCTCATCATGGGGAACACTACATTCAGCTGTCCAGCCACTCAACCAGGCCCAGCCTAGTTGACACACAAACTTCACCACCACAATCTTATATTCAGTTTACTTTTCTTTTTTTCATAAATACCTTACTATGTCAGACATTCTGCTGAGTTCCCACTGGAAGCACCTGGGTCCTTCTGACTCTGAGCCAGTTGCCCCTTAAATTCTGCTGTGGCATTAATTCTACACCTTCATGTGTATACTGTTCAGATTGAAGCCACAATTTCCCAGGAGCTTTCAGTGGCAGGTAATAGAGAGGAGGCTTAAATGCTAACAATATTTCTTGGCTTAGTCAATGGGGAACCCAGAGATAAGGCTTGCTTCAGGATGGGATTAATCTAGTGACTCAGGCCCTTTGATTCCCTTCATCAGGTTGTCCTTGGGTTTGGCTTTATCAGTAGGGCAACTTCTTTCATGTCCAGGGTAGCTTGAAATATGGAGCATCTCTTCTGGTCATTCTCTTGGAATGGGGACACTTCTTTTCCAGAAAGTACCCACAAAACCTCTTCTCCTGAATATCACTAACCCAAATCATCTTACACATCCATTCTTGAGCCAGTTCTGTGGCTGAGGATGGGTGCTATGATTTGATTGATTTAGTTCCCTGGGTCCCTGAACCAATATTGTGAGGGAGGAGTTATCTTTTTTTTTCTTTTTACATTGCTATAAAACATTTAATGAATGAGTAAAAGGGAGAAAAGATTTCTTGCAGAATTCCAGTGAAGAAGCATAGAGGAAATGGAAGGGAAAAATACCATTTAATAAACACCAGAGTAGTAATAACCCCACAAGTACTATTTATCAATGAATGTAAAAATTAGGAAGCAAAAGTACAAAGAAAAGGAGAATATTTGTAGTCTCAAAATTGCCTTGTGACAAATTAATCACAAGGGGCAAAATAGTTCTTTTACAATAGGAAAGAAGGGAAGGGAATGTGGTAAAATTGAAAATAAAACAAAATAGTTTTCAGTGAAATACATGATGAGTGTAATTAACTGTATGCGAAATAACATCAAGAAAAACGTGAATATGAAAGTACACTTGCTCAGGCTATATTCCCTTCACCCTTATTTCTCACAACCAAAGACTTCTGAGAATGATAAAATCTAGCTTGGATCAATAAAATAATGAGTACTGAGGAGTGCTGTACTGCAGGAAAGTAAAATAGTCATTCCTCCAAAAGGCACAAAGCAATTTTAGTGCCCTTTTCATTTAGTTAGTATTACTTTTCTTATTTATGACAAACTTTCTTTTTTAAGCACAGAATTTCAGATATTTGCTCTTTGAAGTGGTAACAGTAAGGAGGAGACATCCCACTTTTGATGGAGTAGTCTTTCCACTGTGCGATCTTGTATGTTAAGTAAGGTGTGAGGAACAACTCCAGGCTTTCCCACATTCTTACATTCACAAGGCCTCGCTCCACGGTGAGAAATTATCTTTATACTCATCAGTCCTACCTCTGGATACGGGAGTGGATTCATATTTCCCTGCAGCACACCAGGCTATGTGAGGGAAGGATGGATACTGAACAAAACCTGGAAAAGGGAGGAATCAGTGCTGTGAAGCAACCAAAAATGTCTCCATCATGGGCGTCATTATTTTACTGTAGTTAGAATGGCATGTAGGTGGTAAATTTTCTGGATTCTGGTATGTCTAAAATGTCTGTATTTTATTTTCACACTTAATTTATTGTTTGGAAATAGAACTCCAAGTTGGAAATAGTACTCACATAGAATTTTGAAGTCATCGTTTTATCTTCTAGCAGCCAGTGTTGTTGAAATCTGATGCCATTCTAATTCTCATTTATGTGTATGTGATCTTTTTTTTTTTTTTTAAGGAGCTCTGGTGGTTCAGTGCCTAAGGCATTTGACTGCTAACCAGAAGGTTGGCGGTTCAGACCCACTAGCCATTCCATGGAAGGAAGATGGGGCAATCTACTTTCATAAAGACTTGCTGGAAACCTGGTGGGGGTTGCTATGAGTTGGAATAGACTCAATGGCAGTAGGTTTTTTTTTTTTTTTTTTTTTTTTCGTAGGTCTCAGGAAGAAGGCAATCATGTTGTACAAATCCTGGACACTGTTCCCATTATAGCTTCTGTGAGTGGTTGTAAACTGTACAATTCCAGGGGTACCATTAACATAGATACAATGAGAATAGCAGCCCTAGAGTGATGCAATGAAGCAGGCTGGCTTAGTATATTCTGTTTGTATTTGGTGTAGGCTTTTTGTCATTGGTTGTGCTAGACACTCAAAAGAACCCTTTCACAAAGAAGACTTGCCCCTAGTTCTAGGATTTTTACTTTTGTACTATTTGATTTCCTTCCTTCTTTTTTTCTGTGGAACTGAATTCTTATCCTAATATATCATGACCAAGTTCAGTTTATCTGAAGAATGCTAGGGTGAATTAACATTAGAAAACTCATTAACATAACTCATCTCATTATCAGATTAAAGGAAACACTCTGCCTCTACCACACGAGACCAGAAGTAGATGGTGCCCAGCTACCAATGCCAACTGCTTGGAAGGGGATCAAATGTGGAGATCTAGGTAGAGTGGGAGAAAAAATGTGGGATAAAACTCAAAAACACAAAAATGACTAGAATTGCTGGTCAGAGAGAGACTGGTGGAACCCCTGAGACTATGGCTCCAGGTTACCCTTTGGGCCTGGAAATGAACTCATATGGACTGGCTCTTAGCCCAACAGTAGAAAGACCTACATACAGAACACCTACCCCAGATTGATGCACTACCTATTTCAGGGAGATGCACCTTTGGATCAATCAGCCATGAGACACCAGACGGGCAGCACTCACATAGAGGGAAAGCTGGACAGAGAGGAATGCCTGGATGAGAAGGGCACGGGGGGGGGGGATGGTCACAGGAGGGAAAAAAATGAAAAAGGAAGAAAAAAGGAAACACTGCAATCATCTCAATAGATGTGGAAAGAAGAATTAATAAAATTAAACATTCATTCATAATAAAAACTCTCAGTAAACTAGAAATAGAAGGGAACTTTCTAAACCTAATAAAGGTCAGTTACCAAAAATCTGTTCTGATATCACATTCAATTGTGATGTATGAGAAGAATTTACTGTAAAATCAGGGAAAGACAATCATGTCTTCTATAGAACATGGCCCTGCAAGTCCTAGTAAATACACTAAGAGAAAGATAAGTATATCATATTCATACATA